TGCCCCTAGGGGGCGGGCCCCACACTTTGGGAGGGTCTGCACTAAAGGAACAAAGTGTACATTTTTCAGACACCTATAAATTTTAGTTCCAGCTTGAGTAAAATAAATGATAGAGAAGCAAATGCTGTCAGGAGGATCTACCTTGACATGACAATAAGTAGGCTGTGTTTTTTATTTCTCCATCAGATCCACTTCTCCTTTGTGACATCTGGTCTCAAAAATCCAAGATACAAGGGGATTACCATTTATGACCACAACGACATTATCTACATCACAGAACTAATAACATTTAGTCCTATTTAAATTACAATGTGTGCTTGAGTGAGAGGAAATCTGAAAATCTTAAGGTCATAAGTAGTTGGACTGTTGTTAGTTTAAGTTCAGTCCGGTTTTATTTATATACCATCAAATTATAACAACAGTTGCATCAAGGTGCTTTATATTTTAAGGTAAAGATCTACAATAATAGAAGGAAACACTAGAAAACAGTTGCTTCCTGTGTGGACGTTAAACATGATGACAGACACCAGGAAACGCAGAAAGCAGAAGAAAGTAACAAAACCAACAAATCTAACACAGACACAAAACACAAGAAATACATGACAAAAGCCTGTGACTGTGACATTCAGGAACCACTACATCATCTGTACAAACCTGATACAGCATCAGCTGTTCAAGCTTTTAGGGGGGGAAAGGGTTACACATATATTCACAATCAGCTGACTTGAAGTAGGATCTGATGCAGTTCTGAGAATGTTGATCAGAGTATTCTAGAAAATTTCTAGAAAAGAAAACCAAAAACATTTTTTTTGCACTAATTTTGCACTCGTTGTGTTTCACAGATGATATTTTTGTCTCACTGACTCACGCGATGTGTATCCCTTCTTTGTTCTGTGGCTTCATCTTTACTTCTTGATCTTTGCTGCCTTGACCTCAGTCCTCCTGTTCCTCCTCCTGATTATCCTGTCCACAGGTTTGCAGGCAGGACGGTGACCAGTGGCAGCTTGGTGCTGGTCACCGTGGCAACCAAAGAGGAAGGAGCCGCCCAGCTGACGGTCAACTGTGAGAAAATGGTGATCGGCACGATGCTGGTGAAAGACATCCTCCAGGCTCTAACGCAGTGACGCGAACCAGCTCTCCAGCTTTGAACTCCGCCTCCACCTGTACTTCAGCCATCCCTCACATATCATCTAAGACTTGTCAGTGTAGCATCTCCTGCAAGCCGTGTCAGTGAGGAAGCTTCCACAACATTTGTTTTGTTAGAAGAGCCCCAAACCTTTAGAAATGACTCCCAGAGACAGTGAATGCCACACCTGGACCTGACAATTAAAACTGAACCTGAATGTTTTTACTTGACTTTCCAAAAATACTAATTTCCGAACGTTTTGAGGGTTTTTTTCCTTTCCTTGAGGAGCTAATTGGACTTACTGGACTCACATTTACTTAATCTAAACCTTTTTTTCTTTAGTATAAAGTTAATGTCAGAATTTGTTTCCTGGATAAACATTAATCGAGGCTGCAGGTTGATTCTTGACTTTGAGAAAAAACAGTGGCTCTGAAACGTTCAGCCACAGCCTGTGATCTTCCTCAGTGGAGGCAGTTGCTCAGTTGTCATCGACAAAGACTGAATGAACTGCATTTTTCATCATTTGTGAAATCAAAATCAGCTACAGCGACGACTAAGTCATCCGTGATATTCAAATCCAATTTGTGATGCTAGATTTTTCTGTGCTCTCACCTGGTACATAATAAAATCTGAAGTAGGACACATCTTTAAAAAAAATCCAGAAGAATCTTCAATCAGTAGTAGTAACTGGACTCATCCGCCTTCTGTTAATGCTGTAGTCAGGCTTTACAAAGATTAGGTGAGCAAAAAATAAACAAAAACATGTGCAGTAAGATGTTCACTAGGTTCAGGCTATTAACACTGTGCAGTAAGAATATGTGACTCTTGGCGATCAGGACACTTTATTTTCCCAATAAAATGGTCCTACACCATAAACGTCGCTCACTCACGCGCTCCCTTGATTTTTTTTTCTTTTAAATCTCAGGCTAGATTTAATTCAAGTGTAGGAAACTGAAATAATCCCATCTACATTGCGACTGCTGGTTTTATATACTTTTTGCTTTTATTCCAACTTTATGTATATCAGGTAATGACTAAACCATCTCTATGACAAATGAGCAACATCATACGCTGGGGAAAGACTGGACCTCCACAGGTTTTCATCGGAACTAAAGGAGGTCTTTCTATGGTGTTAACATGAAGATGAAACAACTTTCAGTTCAGTTCATTTTATTTATATAGCTACAATTCACAACAAAAGATAAAAATCTTACAACAATATAGAGTAAATCCCAACAATCAGATGCCCCCTGTGAGCAAGAAAAACTCCCTTTTCCTCTGGATGGGCATCCATCTGCTGCAACTGGTTTGAGGGGCTATCAAACTGCTTTAAGATGGAGAGATACTCTGAGATAGACGGAGTGGGTAAAGACTATCATATTCCCTCAAATCAGGTGGCACTGTCACAGTTATTTGAAATCATTACAAGATACAAGAAGATTGCTGATCTAAGACGGCTACCATTCAACCTCAACTATGTGATTTTGGTATAATATTAATGAACAATTCCCCAGAGTTTTATCTCATAATTTGGTGATTTTTAGCATGTGGTTAGCTGTCAAAGTGCACATGTTCATCACAGTAAGTGGGGCATTGATAAAAGCTGAAATGTATACACGCTGTTTTATTGCAACATGCAATGCAGTACTACTGTAAGGTGTGGTGTGTGTCTGTGTGTGAGTGAGTATCAGCCTAACAATAAGAAGTAGCGCTTTTGATTAAAAACTGTAACACTTGACTTGACATCATCATGAAGCACATTAAAATCACAAAAATCATCATGCTGATTATACAGAAATGTTTTTTGGTTGCTTTTCTCTGATTGCTGTGATTTAAACCCAGCGTTTAACCCCAACGCCAACAAAAATACTTAACGAATATCAGCAAATTATTTTCCTAATGATCATTTGGATAAATGATTTATCTGCTGGTGATATTCTCGTATAAGTGAATCGGGACTGTAAAAAATAGGATTTTTGCCCACTAAATTCTGAACTGAGTCTTGTAGACAAGCATTTACTGCAAGTCATTCTACATTTAATGAGGTGGTAGTTGTGTCTTCAGTTTGTTTATGTGCATGAAGGAAGTAATATATTGACCATAGAGCTGTAGCATATTTTTCTAATTTTTATTAACTTCCAAGAAGGCAAAGCTAGCAGTTCTCGTGTTTTGTGTTAAGCTAATGGGTTGCTATCTGTAGCTATAGAGTTAGCTTTCCCAAATGAGACTTAACTGATTTTTGGCAATACAGCAAAGATAAATATTTGTCAAAAATATCAAAGCATTCATTTAGATTTCTATTTTCAGAAAACTCAGCCTATATTTACTAGTAAATAACACAATGAAGCTTTGAAGTGAAATATTCACAAAAACAAAACTCAACCCATTCAGCTTTCCATAAAGTTGATTTAGTAAAGAAACATTCAGATTATGTTTGACTATGTGCTGAAGATAATGTGCGTGATTTTCAAGTTAAGTGTTGCTTTTCATCTCAGTGGTCAGGCTGGTTTTGTGGCTAATTACATTTGATGCCCCTTTTTTTCCTTTTAATATCCTCATCTGTGCTGCAGACGCATGTTTCTTAATTCTAGCAGTATCTGTGCACTTCTTTTTACTGTTGGAAACTGTAACTGTAATCTTCCAAAGCTACAGGAGTAGTGAAAGGACTTTATTTTGGCCTTTAACGTACTCCTCGCATTGTCTGTTATTTGCCCGTTCGCTCCAGCAGCCATGATGATGAAAGTAAACAATAAGAAAGTCTACTTTCAAAAGTAAAAATACAGAAAAGAGTGAACTCTATTCTCCAAATCATACGTAGGGCCATATGTTTCATCTGCTTTCAAAATATCCAAAGTACAGTTCCTCATACCCGTGTGTGGTTGTGAAATGTGGTCCTGAGGTATTACAAGTATAGTTATACAAATAAAAGTACAGATATGGTGTTGCGTGTGTCTACTTTTTTATGGTCTTTAGTCAAATCGACCACAGACAGCTGCCTTAACTGAAGGAAGCAAGACTGGCAGTTTGAATAAGGAAGAGTAAAACAGAAGTTGTAAAAAGCCTGCTGTATTTGCTGAAATCGAACTCGTCCATCTGTTCGGCATCTTTGTAGTGACATTTAAAACCCTGGAGCACAATTTCTTAATTACTAAATTTCAGCGCGAAAGTTAAAAGTAACAAAAAGCTGGTAAACAAAGTGGTATTAAAGAGAAACAGCTGGATGAACATTTTGCAAATAATGAGGTTAGCTAGCAACACATTAGTAGCATGACTGCTTCTCTTTTCCTAAGACCTTAAAAACTTTCCTTCACACCTTTCCTTGACCTCATGAAGTTGTTCATCGACGTCATGGTAAAGAGACGTAGGAAGGATGTGGGAAGTCTTTCTTGTTTTTTATTTGATACAACAAAACAGCAAAAACACACATGTGAGATGAAGAAAAAGCTGCATTTATTTAAAAACCTGATTAAGGCATTACAAAATAATTGTAAATCTGCTTTAAATTTTTACAAAATCCCTGATAGGATCATCGATGTAGTCTCTCAGGAAGATATTAAGGTAGTCTGTAAATGATTTGGTCCTTTCCCATCACTGCACTCTGAAATCTTTGGTTTTCCACTCAAACTGAACTAAACTTGCCCGATCCAGTTTGTGCAGGAAAATATCAGACTGAACCTACTAAAATCTATTCTGTGCATAAGTATAGACGTTTTGGAACCCATTATACTTTGGCTGATTACACCACCTATGCAGGTCATGAACCTCCAAAAACATCATACAAGGCCATTTATTCAGACATATATTTGAAGGCAACTTATTAAAACACTTTTTTTTCTAGCTGCATGGTTTTATTCTTAGATTGCACTAATACAGCTTAGAATGACTCACAGTTAAAAATGATTTAAAAAAAACTAATAGCACTTATCTTACACTTGGCCTTGTTTTTTCACAATTCAAAAGAGACATGACAAAAAACTGCAGCTGCTTTAAGTCAGCCTTCTCGGATTGGCTGAGCCTCACATCCAGAAGATTTGAATGCAGCCTCAGTAAGGGTTTGTGTGCTCAATGCCAGAGCCATGTCCCTGAGTAGGTCCTATTAGGGACAAGGCATAAGACTAAATTTGAGCATCCTCCACTGTGACATAATATACATTCACTGGCCCCATTATTGAGTACACTTGGTCAACTGCTATTAAGGCAAATATCTAATCAGCCAATCACATGACACCACCTGAGTGCATTTCGGCGTGTAGACACGGTCAAGACGACCTACTTAAGTTCAAACTGAACATTTGGACAGACAGCTGTTTTAATTGAGTTTCCTGTCGGATAAGACATCAAAATTAGAAAACAGAAGTGTTGGCTGACCTGATGAGTCTCAATATCTGCTGCAACATCTGGCTGGTAGGGTCAGAATTTCGTGTAAACGACATGAAAGCATGGATCCATCCTGCCTTGTATCAACAGTTTGGGATGGTGGTGATGGTGTAAACATGTGAGGGATATTTTCTTGGCACACTTTGGGCCCCTTAGTACCAACTGAGCATCGTTTTTATGACAGAGCCTACCTGAGTATTGTTGCTGTCCACATTCAGTCCTTTATGAGAACAGTGTACTCACTATACAAAACTAGTTTCTTAAACATGACAGGAAAGCAAAAACACAAGACCTACAGTCGATCCATCACTCTTCAGTAAACCAGATAATGAGGCCCCATTTTCTCACTTTGAATATAGGGTTTTGTCATTTACATAAACTTTTTACAGGTGTCCAGGATTTTAATAACACACTGGCACTTCTTTCTCAGCTTTCCAACGCAGTAATTCTTGGAAGGCAGAGAGAGCCAACTGTTGTTTAAAACCCCTTAGCAGTCCAATTAGTCCCCTAAACCATCCAATGTCCCGTGGGCGGTACGTCCGACTGCTAACAGGTTAACAATTTGTTTTAGCAGTGGAATTTTTAAATTAGGCACCATAGAAAAAGATGACAGAAGGCACAGGATTCAACCAGGAAATACAGAGATTACAGAGCTTCAAGTCGTTCTACCCATCTGTGAGGATGTTAAGAGGAAGCTGAATCCATTTAAAACAACGCGAGTGTTCATGTGAGCTCTGTCTGCCTGGTTTGTGGAAGTAGAAGACCCACCAGTCCTCCAGTGAGCAGCAGGGCTGACACCAGCAGGATGGGGACAGCACAGTTTGCATCCACCAACCTTCCAAAGACCAAGTTACCCATGATCGCTGCCACTCGGCCCACGCCTGTGAAGAAACCAAGAGCAGAGGACCTGAGAGAAAAATGGAAAGAAAAGAGATTCAGTATATGTGCATGTGACCTCTCTGAGTTAGAATAAAACACCTCGATGGATGAGTGAATCAATTAAAAAAAAATACAAAAAAAGAAATCTTAGTTTGATTTACATTTCTATACATGGCTGAATCTGAGTTTCGAGACTGGTTACCGTAGCTTTGTCGGGTAGAGCTCAGTTCCTACGACATCCAGCGCATTCCAGGCGATCACGGACACCCCGCTGAAGATGCAGGACAGGATCAGACTCTGAGCTTTGGTCTGAACCACATAGATGAAGAAGACACTCAGACTGGACAACAACAGGCTGCCGGCTGGAGAAAGTAACAAAGATGAAGAAATGTATGATTTTTTTGTTAAACACTGACTTAAAGGTGGGTGTTCTGTAGCAGCTCGGTTTTCTGATTTTCTACATTTGTTTGTAGTGTGAGAGCTTCTTTAATCGTAACTCGAAGCTTTTGAAGATGAAGATGGAGCGTTTGCTTAACTATGAATGGGTTGTGTTAAAGACAGTGATATGCAGTGACGAACTCTAAAAGGACAAATTTTATGCTATCAAGGGTCAACTCACTGACAAATTCAGAGAATAAATTATTTACAAGAAACAAGCCGGAAAAATAAAGCTGAATGTCCACTGGAGGTTGGCTCCAAACGCGAGTCAATTCTCTCTGACTTCTATGTTACAACGTTACAGCAGAACAGACTGTTACGAAAATAGAATTTCCTGTAAACTTTTTTTTATTCTATTAAGCATGATTATGGGTGTTTTAATGACAGCTTAATTCATGGACTGAACTGGACCTCTCAGTTGTTTCTGGAGTATCTTTAATCCATTCATCTAAAAATAAAATTAAAAAAATACATGTGTTGCTCTATTTTGCCTTAGATATATGATTGGCATTAAATTTGCAAAAACTTAAATAACATCTAGCAAGATGTCAATTATTTTAGCTGTGTAGCTCCATTCACTCCATGGACTGTTTCTTGAGCACCACTTGCTGTGGCCACAATTTCTGTGGGTTACTGTGAAGTGGAATGGCTCTCCTGGATTGGCTCTGCTATGATCTTTAATTTTTTTTTTTTTATACACAACCTATGATTATATGCAACATGTATGGGAGAGTGTTAAGAAATGAAAACATATTGATTTGTGAAAGAAAAAAAAAACCTCACAAAGCAGAGCCTTTCCTCCGATGCTGTCCATCACAAGAATAGTGAAGATGTTACCCGGCAGGTTTGCCGCGGCTGTGATGAAGCCATCCGTATATACTGCGAGGTAACAGACAAATACAGGAAGACAAGTGTGGACAGGAGAAAGACATGTGGCGAGATATGGATGGACCAGAAAAAACAAATAAAACACAACACATTAATAGTTATTTCCTGAAATTTCCTGAGTGAGTCCAGTGTCAGCTGGTGCTTTAAGCTTGTTAGGAAGTCACATTAAAGCAGGTTAAAGAGTAAAGCAGAAGTGTCCTGCACTTGTTGCAAGTTTCAAATATTTGCTTTTCTCTTCCTTTCCAAGTATTGTAAAAACTGACTCCTGTCAATGTTAAAGCTGATTTCTTGGCCTCCGTGAGCAGCGATGCCTGGATGAAAACACTAATATGAGCATGAATCCTCTGAAACACACCTGCTGTCTTGACCGTGACACAGGTTTCATTGGCCGCTACAGACGGGCGGGACACATTTGCGCAGGGCGAGCCGCCGTCTTCGGTTCTCTCAAACAGCTCAGGAAACCACATCCACAGCCCGTAGTAACTACACACACACACACACACACACA